TTAATGACATATATATATATATATATATATATATATATGTCATTAAATATGTTTTTATTCTTTAGTAATGGCGTCAGAAAAGAGTCAGAGAGACGCACAAGAGAGAGGATTCTGTTCATCCAGAGGTCACAGCTTCTTTGTTGCGCCATCGAAGTCAGAAGTCGTGCACTTTTCCATGACGTGCATGAAATATCTGACAGCGCCGCGTGCTCAGGAATGAGGTGGAGGTGCACAGTGCACCGTCCTCATGGCTTCATCGCAAATAAAGCATGTTTCGCATGGTTGCAACATCCAACACAAAGTTTGAACCAGAACCCTTTGTCAGTACGATGGAGCACGTTTAGATATTTATTGCAGCTTCTTTATGCAATTTAAAGCTATTTTTATGATATTTGCACGAACCTTTAAATAAATCCACCCGAGATCAGCCATTGAAATAAGGTATCATTAATAACACGACTATGGATTAAAACTATTATAAACATATTATTATGTATTATGTAAAATATTATTTCATCATGTGTGAGGAAAAGGTGCAGCAGTTTCTGTCCTGGTGGTGAAGGAGCGGCAGAGGGTCACCAAGAGGCCGCACAGACGGTTCTGCAGAACAACCCATCAACTTGGCCGGAAGTTCATCCGAACCAAAGCGTTCGGTTCCATCCAACCTCCACTGGGTCTGCCTGCTTCTCCTTGAAGGTCACGGAGCTCTGGTGTATCTCCAACAGTCACTTTGCCAGAGCCCCCTGGACTGGTCCTGGACAAGTCCATCACAGGGACACAGAGAGAGACAACCCTGCAGTTTAGTTAATTCACATGCAAGAAAACCCGCAGGGGCGCAGGAAGAACAACCAGCCAGGCCAGGAATCGAACCTGCGACCTTTTCCTTTGACGGACACAGCTCCAGACGCTGTTCTACCAGGTTCATGTTAAAGCATCTGCTATGTTCTCATTTCTTTTATGCTTTTATTTTTATAATAAAATACTTAAAAGGGGGAAAAGTTTGATTTTTTTGTTGTTGCTGATGTAAATAAAAAAAAAAAAAGCAAATAAAACTTAAGACTGATCAGATGATAATATTTTGGAGTTTGTTTGGAGGAGCAACCATATTTTGATCATTTCAAAGACATATTTATGACTTATGGCATCATTACGGTTCCTAAAATTAAATGTAAAAATGCAGCAGGATTAAGTCAAGATTTAAACATCCATTAAGGAAAGACTTTAAAGAAGAAGATCAATTCCACTTCAGCTGAGTAACAATATAATTATTACATTGCTTTTCTTATTATTAAAATAATAATGGAATGACTCATTTCCAGGGTGTTTGGTGTCGCCTGCAGGTCATTGTCACTGCAGCAGGGGGGTGTTGGGGTGGGGACCCCTCATCACTTTCCCTGCGCTGTAGGTGGCCGTGTATATTTTGTTTTGGAGGTGTTTATGTGATCGGGAAAGGACGGAATTGCTAGCAGACCTCTGATTGCGCGCGTGGACCGAGCGTGTTTTTCATGGGCGCCTCCGTCTTCACTAATCAGCTGCACAAAAACGACGCTCTCTGAGTCCACCAGATATTTGCTTCTTACTGTGAACGGAGACGCGAACAAACAGCAAAACGGTGTTGGTTAATAATGATGACAGCTTTATAATGCAATCCTTTCAAATTAAAAGTCTGCAAATGTGCGCAACGTCGAGGCATGACACTGATCTCAGACCCGCTGCAAGGCTCCAACCTGCAGCTGTTTCATATGGGTAGAAAAGAACATAAAATAAAATAAAGAAATCTCTGCAGACAAAGCAAGGCGTTTGATCTGATATTTGATATCAGACATGCAGTTTCTGTTAATATTCACTATAAATTAATATGTATAGGCAAATAAAAATGCACTTGTTGCCCATATTTTTGTCTTAAAATTGCAAAACCTATTTTTATAGAGTGCAATTATTAAAGTCACCATCTTGTTATTGGAGAGGACGTGACAGATAGAAGTGAACAATTTTTTTTTTTATTCAACCTTGAATTTATTATGTTTTAAACAATGCATTTTATACCAAAGAGTTATATTAATGTAAAAACTGTTGCTGCAGCTCTTGTTCTGGTTGCACACACATCCCTCCACTTCCACAGTTGCAATCCCAAACTGAATAATATTCATTTAATTTTTACTGTTTTGAATAAATTTTGTGTTTGCAAATTTAATTTATGCTCAGCTCAATCCAACTTTAAAGGGACTGTCGAGATGATGCAGTAAAATAATTTCTGTAGAGCTTTAAACTTAATGCTTGCCCTTTTGTTGTTGCTATTATTATTATTATTATTATTATTATAAGTATTATAATTAGTATTATCATAAGTAAAAAAAAAACATCTGTCCAAATGTGTTCAGCACTCACATGTGTCATTATTTGTCATAACTTTTCCTTAAAAGTGACATTTTAAAAATTGACAAAAACACACAAAGATGAGGACAAATAAGAACAATATGTAAAAATAAAACATTTAATTAATAAAATGTTCAAAAGTTATGGCCTGAAGTTGTAGGTGTGTCTGAAGTTTTTTTTTCG